ACGCTCCAAGAGGGCTCAAGAGGCCTTCAAGACTGCTCCAAGACGGCCCACGAGGCTCCCAAGACGGCCCCGGAGCGGCCCAAGAGCGCCCCCCAGACGGCCCAAGTGCTGCCCAAGGCGGACCAAGAGGCCCCAAGACGGGCCCAAGAGGGGCTCAAGAAGGGAACCGAGAACTGAAAAATCGAGCCCTCCGCCCCAGAAGGCGCCCAGGACCCCGAAAGAGGCCCCAAGAGACTCTCCAAGACACCCCCAAGACGCCCCAATAAGCTCCCGTGAGGCCCCAAGAGGACCAACAACGTCAGGCCCCAGGCCCCAAGAGGACCAACAAATACCGCCAAGAGCCCGCCGAAAGCCCCCCAAGAGACCGTCACGAGAGCTCAGGAGGCCCCCTGGAGGCCTCCCGAGTTCTCCAAGAGGCCTAAAAAGAGGCGCCAAGAGGCCCCAAACGGCCCCACCGAGGCTCCAAGAGGCCGCGAACGCGCAAGCAAACGCCTGCGATGGCACAATACGGGCCGGCGGAATGAGCGAAGCGATTAAATATCCTGGGTCGTTCACGGATCCCGCCATGCTAAGATCGGCTCGACGTAAGTTTGGGCCGCGAAGTAATAACAGTTTTGCCGTGTCAGGGTCGTGCTTTGGTCATCTTGAGATCACATCTCGGTCATGCTTGGATCGCGCAACCGTCGCGTGTCCATTCTGGGGCCACCCTGAGCGCGCGTGGATCCATCTTGTTGCCATCGGGCCATCTCGGCGTCACGCGTGGCTCCATTGTTTGGTCATCTTCGGGTCGGCCTGAGACGGTCCAGAATCCATGGCGGGATCGTGTTGGGAGGCGTCATGCCAGGGTCGGCTGGACGTTATCGCCTTTGGCCTCAGGCCCTCCTGGAACTATTTTGCGGCCGTGGGGGCGTCTTGGGATCTCACACGCGCGAGCGCCCATCACGCGCGCGCGCGACAACTCATCTCGCCGATGGGTGTACACATCTATACTTCTAGTTGCGAATTTCCAAAGAACTTTTGTTGGAGTCAAGTAGCCTTATAGCCTTAGAGCCCTATAGGCCAACAGTCCTATAGCCCTATAGCCTTATAGTCTGATAGCCTATAGCCGCATAACTCCATCGCCCTATAGCCCAATAGCTCTAAAAAGACTTTGATACGTTTTTCTCTGGTATCATGCCTTCATCCCCTCCTCTTGGTGGACTTTCTCGGGGCCGAACCAGCTCAGAAGCCCTGGGCGCCTCCAGTTCAGGCCTCCCAGGCTGGGGTCAGAGTAGATGTGTCGGAAAACCGCGCCGCATCGCCGACATGCACGTCAGCGATGCGGCTTCGATGTGGAGCCCGATTTCTCCACGCCGAGAGCGGCGACGCATGAGCGGATTTGCCTTCATCCTCCCTCTTGGCAGACCAAGCCTCGAGGAGGCCTCCTGCCGGTGTCCCCCCCGTCGCTGCCAGGGGGAGGGGGGGGGGCTCGAGGGGGGAAGCCTCCAGGAGGGGGGCTCGGGGACCGGGGGCCGAGGCGGCGGGGGAAGATTTTTGGGGGGAGGCCTCGAGGAGGGGGGCTGGGGCATCGAGGGTTGAGGCGGCGGGGGAAGTGGGGGGGGAGGGGGCTCGGGGAGGGGGGCTCGGGCATCGAGGGTCGACGAAGCGGGGGG